CCTACCTTATAAATGGATAGTCACTAGAAAAGTAGTGGAAATTGAACAGTATCACATGTCCACCGAAGACATGTGTTAATGAGTGTTTGAGGGGGGAAAAAAAAAAGAGAAACAAAAAAGACAGACAGATTAGAACTGCCATGACTTTCTATAGGAGCATGGAATAATCTTTCTGGCGAGAGACTCGGCATTGTTCAGAGGGCTTCATCTTCTCTGGATTTGAGTAGGATTTAGCCGTTTTTTCTCCAGACGAAAGAGAAGGGGGCAAAAGGCCAAGAGAAACAGAAAATAGGATGTATGGAACAGATAAAAACACATTAAAAACTATTTGATATCTCAACCAAAAACCTTGTGATCATGGCGCAATTTTGTCTAACACTGAATACAGCATGGTGGTAGTGTTTAAGCCTGTGAGAAAAATACAGTATATGTTGGAGCTCAACATCACTAATAGGGCAAGTTTTACATCAAACTCTAGTTATCGTTTTTGGCACATTTGTAGGCATGTCAATGACCCAAAGACAAAGAGGGAAGTATATCAAGGGAGTGATAACAGTTGTGTGAAGGATAGATAAGAAAGGCTGGGAATGGGATATAATGAAAGATGAGAAAGGTAAAAGCTGGTGAACAGAAGGGAAATGGCACGGAGCAGCTGGTGTTTGGTATGAGGAGCTGGGTAGAAGGACAGAAAGATTGATTGAAGAGAAGGAAGGACAGTTGACTATGGCATCTCTAAAGGCTACTGAGGCAGAACAGGAGGCCTTATGTAAGCGCCTATTAGTGTGGGTGAGCAAGCGATAAAGCATTTTACTGCAGCGGTGCCAGAGCTGCGCAATAACAGTTTCCTTCCCTCTTGATAAGTGTTTCTTTCTCTCCCTGTCCTGAAGAGATCCTGCCAGAGGAATAATGTACAGTATACAACATGCAAATACATGAGAGGACAAGAAAAGATATTGACGCTTTCTAATTTACATCACACAATGTATTGGATGCATAATAGGTTTAAGCCACTTCTAACGTTGTCAACATTATTTTACTTTTGCAACAGAGCAGAGTGCAGAAAACATTCCTGCATGCCTTTTACTGTACTCGTCACTTATGAAATTAAAAAGAATTTTGCCTCTCTTCTTTGCTCCAGAACAGCAGATGATTAATGTCTCATTAGAGCACCGTACACACACAGCACATATTTCACCCATTAGCCAACACTCTTCCACAGGCCCTTGTTTGTGTTAAAGAATGAATGATTCAGAGCCAGCAACAATGCTGCACCCTGAAAACCGAGATAAAATAAAAAATACATTTTCTTTGATATCAGATCTTTCCTCCTCAGTACATCTCTAAGTCAGGAGACAGCAAAGCGGCAGCGTTAGATGATGAGCTGTCTGCTACAGTCTTCTGCAGTTATAAATTGTCTGTGCAGCTCATAACCCAGATCCTAAGGCTGACCTGGCAGACGTGCCAGATGCCTGCTTGCGTCCTGATCTGACCCTCCCCTCTCACATGACTCCATTCATTGAGGATGACCTCTCACCCTTGCCTGTCAGTGCAAGAGCTTTAACCTCTTGTGGTCTGGAATGGAAAAAAAATAGTCTACAAGGAAGGATGTAGATGTCGCAACAAAAACGAACTTTTTAATGAAAATGCAGGCATGCTAAACACCAATTGTTGGAAAATATTGAAACATAAAAGAAAACAACCACCTATAAAGGAGTGGGCTGCTTTGCTCAGGAGGCAATGTCAGCAGTCTGGTTGTCGGTTAGACATCGCAGACTAAGTGGGGGCGGGTAGCTGTTCCTCTGCCTGACCTTCAACAGCCGCCTGTAATGTCTCCCTTGGGAGAAGAGGATTGGGGGCGAGGTGGTCGGAGGGGGGATGGAGAGGTGGTGGACTATGCTCCATCCTGCCTGCTTACGTGGCTTAAACCCTGCTGGTGACTCTTTTGCAGACTGAGTCAAAGGCTGGTCAGTAATTATGGTAAAAACAGAGCCATCTTTCTCCCTCCACCACAGACAGTCCCCCCACCACCACTGCGGTTGGTTGCTTTGGTGTCTTCTTTTTGCAGACTCAGTGTTTTCCATTCATGTTACCCTAATGCAGTGACAGTGTACCTGACCAAGGACAGATAAGAAAGACAAGCTTTCACATAAAAACAAAATGCCCCCTCCTCTCTTCATTTTCTCAGACCTCCTTTTTTGTTAAATCAGACTGGTCTTTGTTTTGTTATCAGCACACTGGATCCCATGCTGATGAGTATTGACAGCTTGAGTGTGCTCTGCTATAGGGTGTAGGTGAAAGAGAGACTTCAACAGACAGCACAGAACAAGGAGAACACAGAGGGACATCAAGGTACAGTTGACAAGACAGGTGGGAGTGCTTAAATGTATGCTCTAAGTTTACCTGCGTTTAAAAGAATATGCACATGTGCGAGTGAGTAAATGTAATTAGTCCCTCCTCTTCTTCCTGCAAGATCTTTGCCCTGGCTTGCCTCATAGATAGTGACCTACTTTGCAGCATTTGCAGACTAACAAGACACGGTGCGATTGTACTCTGCTCTACGAAAACAATATACAACCGGCAAAGTGGTTAATATAAAACACACAGAGGGCTGGGCAAAATCTTTACGGCTAAGGTCTCTTTAAACACACATAATCCTGTAACACAGTGATAGTATTACCAAAGCTGGCAGGGAGCAGTTGAAAATAAATGGTTTTGTTGACATTATCCGAAGCAGGGTACAGGTAGTGCAGCAAATGCACTGTGTGTCACACCCACATACAAAGACGCACACATTCGAAAATATCAAGCACATCATCCCAAATGTAACAACTGCTTACAGAAAAATAGTTCTCACACTGTAGTATAACTCTCTTACTCTGTGAAACCACTCAAGCCAAATTTGCCAAAACCAAATTGCTGTCAGTGGGTTTATCTGGCAACAGGTTTTTGTAATTTGTGATAAAAACCACATCACACACATCTGGATAACACACAGAGCTGGGATGAGCCCAAGAAAATTACCTTAACTATCAGTTAATCTACTACACTGAATAAAAAAATACCTTTAACTGGAGCTTAAAGGTTTAGTTAAATTAATGATTAGTTGATTAAACAAAAAATAATCAGCAACCATTTTGATAATGTATTAAGTCCTTTATGGTTCCAGTTTTTCCAGTATGAGGATTTTCCACCGTTTCCATTTTTGAGTTTTGAACTATCAGTCAAAAAGTAATTCAATCGCTTTAAGCCAAAATGTGAATCATGACTAAGAAAATGGTTTCAAAGTACGAGAGGAGTGCTTCTTGTCACCAACTGCGAAACAAAAGCCAATCTGAGCAGGGTAAAGACAGGGAGTTAATCTGAAAGGTCAGCGGAGCAACAAAGAGGCCTTGCTAATATGACCACACAGTTATATAATGTTATGCAACCTCTTTTAGCGGCTGTGTAGTATCAACTCAGAGCTTGTTATTGTAGAAGCAGCATGTTGAGATAGCCATCAACATGCTGCGGTAAAGAGGTGTTTTATATCTGGTTAACGCATGGACTAAGAGGCGAGAATAGACGTTTTGTTGCCTGTGTTGGGAAAATTTCATAGTCAAACAGACACTTACAAAGAACTCAGCGCAAGATCACTCTGGTTTAAAAGCATGCTCAGTCTTGCATGCTCCCCTGAGACACTCCCTCACATCATACATGACTAGCAGCACGTGAAATTCACGTGATGAGAGAAAGAAGAAAAGGGAGAAGTGTGGCGTTTAAACCCCAAAGCCCGTACTCAACTGCCGCCTACTATCAAGCACACTCTGAGCAGTTGTAACCTGTTTTTTTATTATGCTGAAACCTGTAATAGCCTAACATTTCTAAAAATGGTCATACTGAGGCTCAGAAAAATTCATCACATTTCCATGCAGATATAACAAGGAGCTGCTCCGTTTCTACACTGTATTGTATTGCCACCGGGCATCTTGGTAATGAGTAAACGCCATCTGACAGACAGACAGGGGCTTGACATGGACAGTAACCAATAGCTGTGTAAAAAATAAGGAATGAGTGCTTAGGAACCGCCTACGGCCTCTCCCAGTCCTCTTTACTGTTACATAATCACTTATCAGTGCACTCGGCGTGTCCCTGGATGCATGTTCTGCTAGCTCTGTGGGAAACAGTCTGTATGTGCTTGTAAGTTTACCCAAGGACAAGCGAAGAATCACCTGTGCACATATGCACATGTGTCCGTGTGTGAAAATAATGTGAAACAGTTGTAGCAAAAGCAAAGTGCACTGTGCATGAAACATCAAACAAAAACACGCTTGCACACACAAAGTTCACCTTCCTGTATGAAATACAGCAAGCACATCTAGCATGGCCTGTGGAAAAAAAAAGGTCAACGAAGGTAGCACTGGGCTTCGAAACAATCAATCAATACAGTGAAAAGTCTGACTAGTAACTTGCCCGGATGTACTTAACTGACTTATCTGTAAAACCTACAATAACGATCCTATATGATCTTCTGCTTTTTCTTCTGTCAAATGATTGGGTAATCTTGGCCCTCATCTCAAGCTCTGGCGCTCTCAAGGCATATTTCGAAATTATTCTGGATAGAACACCAAACATGCGGTCAGTTAACCAGTACGCCCCCACACCATTCAGGCCCAAACCACTGTACAGTTGTAGACAGATGGTGAATTCCACTTCTCGTCAAGATTTTGCTTAGAAACACAGGTTTAGAGTTGAGTCTTAAAATGGCCTACAATGATCACTTTTAAGCGCCACAGATTCAGTGCTATAAGAACAGAACATATACATATAAAAAGGGCTGATAGTTAACAATATGCTCCAGAAGCAAATGGGCTGATTACACATCTACCCAAAGCTGGAGCGAGATGTCAAGCCAGAGTTTGAATCACATCATACGATTGTACATCCTAAAGGTGATTTTTCTTTTACTTAACATGCAAAACTCCAGAGATTCATGACTGTAGATGTCACCAGCTTCATCATACCTGCTTCTGGGGACAGGGATGTGTGAGGAGGGAAGGGGCTGTCTCTCTGTCTGTGGTACATGCTGCCCTTGTGCTGCCCTGAAGTTGCTGGCCAGCTCTGCCTGTTTCCCTGGGTTTCTGATGTCCAAATGCATGAAGCCACCTGGCAACTGTCCATTTGTGCCTGGACAGTGAGTAGGACTGGCTCTCTTCAGGATCCCAGTGAAACCAGTGTCTTTTTGGTCCGCCACGCCAATCTAGATAATGAATCAAAAACACATTAAAGTCAGAAACAACATGCCCAGTGATACCTGAAATGTCTAATTTGTGAATTAATCAGCGAGAGGGGTGCGGGAGGGTAGTTTTTGTCTTGAAAAATTAAAACAGAGCAGAAAAAAAGAGGAAATTCTTTATCTCACTTCGCCTCATTTATTAACCCAAAAGATCATTGTACTTTCCACAAGTCATGAAAATCAATAAACCAACTCGAACTAAAGCAACTGAGGGTTAAGATAGAGAAGTCTCTATTTCGCTAAACATTTACAAAAGGTTGTTGTTTGTCAGGCCAAAATGTAAAGATTGTTAATTTACTTCACATATGACAAACAAAAGCAGCATTTCTTTACATTTGGCAAGCTGAAATATGAGAATATTTGGCACTTTTGCTTGATTTTTTATTTTTTACTGACTGCTCATACAGTTCAAATAAAGAAACCCATTCAAGCTTACCCTAACCCTAAGCCTAACCCCCTCCTTCACAAAATCTACAATAAAGCATAACTGCCACTCTTACTGTTATGTCAATACACACAGAAACTTATTTGAATAAGATGCTGATCGACCCACATCAAAAGTAGGTGTGGTAACTGTCCACCAGTGCATAATACTGCAGGACAATAAGGAAGTATATGACATGGTTTGTTTAAGGGTACCAAAAACAAACACATGGGGATGCCAAAATCCAACTGCAACCGCCCCCCCAACACACCACCACCACACACACACACACACACACACACACACAATGCAATTTAAACCAAGATGCAAATTAAACGCAAATGCATGGGGGGAAAAACCTGCGTATTTTAAAGTAGTGTTAGTTGTTCAGTTTAGTGTGGAGGAGCCGGGCCTTGCTGCGCAACCAGGAAGCCCACGCTGTAGCTCCACCCTGAAGTCATGGGGGAGGGGGATAGGCTTGTAGTTTGAAGTCCCTGCCCCCCTTTACTGTAAACTTTGCACTCAGAATGAGCCGCCATTTAAAGCGGTTAGAATACGTTGTAATTATTCACGACCAAGCACTGACCAGGTAAATTGCATACGCTTCAAAATCATCATAATAAAACAACTCTTAAGTAATGGTGCTACCAAAACAAATAACACAATTTACGGTAGTTGGGAGTCTCGTGCGAGCGTCACAGTCGCAACCGTTAAAACGCCCGTGAAAGCGGTGTAAATAGCCAAACCGTACAACCGACCACACAGCGGAATAACGAGCTAACGTTACATGCTTGAAATGATCCTAGCTTTAACTTGGGTGTACGGGTGACTTTACCGGCTCATGAAGTCGAGCGCACCACACTTAAACGCAGCCGAGCGGCACTTACTTTTTCCACGTCGTGCGATATTCGACCACCCGGAGACAGCCCGGTCCCTCTCGGGGAGGTTCTCTCGCTTTTAACCTCCGCCGCCGCTGAGCCGCCGTCCATTACAAATTTGTAAATGACAGGCCTGTGTGTGTACGCCGGCATGGAACCGCTTTTTTCCACCGTGGGGACCCGGGTGTCGCGGAGCACGGAGCGGCCTGCCCGGCAGTTGAATTCCGCCCCGCCGACCCTCGTCCCAACCGACGACTTCTCCAAAATATATTTAGACTCCATGTTCATGACGGAGGCGAGAGAAGGCTAAAGAAAGAAAACCAGCTTTCTATAGATTTTAGTGCAAATTGCTGGAGTTTGATACATTTATCAGGATTGTCTCGATTTGTTGGGTACTGTCTGTGTCTTGAATTCTACTCTAGACTACATGGAAAGTTTTCCACCTCTGCCGCCGCCGCCACCGCTACCCAGGATATCCAAAAAGCCGCCCGGTCAGGAGGCTAAAATATTGTTTTGCCTCTTTCCTCCAAACGGATGCCACGCCCCCTCTGCTGCGCTCCCATTGGTCCGCTGCATACATAAACATTACACTTTGGCACGCGTCCACGGCGAGGCGGCTTCTGATTGGCTGCCTCCACCATGTCAATCACGTTTTTTTCTAATCTCAGTGCTGTGGGTGGAAGAGGGGAGGGGGCGTGTCCTGCAGTTTACCGGCCGGTGTCTGTCGACGACGAGCCGGTCTGAGAGGCAGGCGAGGAAAAACAGCCTGCAGGCCTCAGAGACAAACTGCGCATTTATATTTTTGCAAATAAAATGCTAATTTTGCGGATCGTGAATTATGAAGCAGGAACTGTACTTTACAAGCCGGTTATAATTGATCAAATGAACAGACTGATCCCTCCCTAAAAGTTACTAGCCCTTTAGTATTCGGTTAAGTTGTTTATATAAGATGTTTATGTTGTAAAACTAACAGCATAGTGTCTGGGTACAATAGCATGAACCACTGTGCAAAAAGAATCAGTTAAGGAAAATGACTCTGGCTAAATACAAAGCATTATCTGTGAGGCAAGGTTTAGTTTCACAGTGGTTGGTTTAAACCTGTAACTCTCTGAGATGTATAACTGATTGCATTGCAAAGCTTTTGCTCTGAATTGCATTCTGAGACAAATTGCATTAGCAGTTTCATTTCATATAGTGTTCGTGCGCCTACTTTCTGTCAAGTAACAATTTTTTCTGCTACAAAAAACCTCCATATGTAGAATTAGCAGCAGTATGAAATGCTCTCCTGTTATTAATAGATACAGTTTACAGCCCAGCAGCCTTTGCTTTATTGCAAAATTTTTGCACAGACACATTTTACTGCAATTTGCACACTGCAGTTATTAATTTGAGGCTGCTGTAGAGAGACACTGTAGTGCAGATACCCTTCACAAATCAATAAGACTACAGGCAAAACAAACACATGTTATAATGTGCCACTTTATTAGAAAAGTAAAAACTCACTTTTAATATTTTATGAAGGTTAATATAAAACATTACAATCTTTTGCATATCTGCACTGTCACACTATATTTTTATTATATTCATTATTTTTAAACTAAACCCTGTGCTTTAAGAACATACAACATTGGCTACAGCTGTCACAGCAGTATTGGCCCATAATTATATCTGAAGACAATTAACAAACAGCATCTGTATCTGCATGGAAAGCATGAAACATTTTTGCATCCACAAGTACAACGTGTCTGTGATAACCATCTTTTGTTCTTTTTCTTTTTTTTCAACAAATATACTGTATACTGTATGTTACATTGGAACAACATCGGAACAGCAACAGAGTATTTTACACATTTACATCATCATACTGTATTTGTGCAATGAACATCTGTCTCGATCGGTGTGTAACAGTGTTCGACAAAATATATCAGATCAGTGCTTTCTCTCAGGATAAAGAAAATGTGACACATTAGGTGACAGCCAGAGAAAAAAGTGTGATTGTGATTTCCAGCCGGCATTGTTTATGGGAAGCCTCACCAGGGCTTGCTAAGCGCCTCAGCTGTTGGCCATTTCTCATATCAGACAGTAGTTGAGCCGTTGGTGCATTGTTGATATCAGGACTGGGGTTGGCCTGACCCACAGCCACTGCCCACCCCTCCTCAACCCCCATATCACTCCCTGAGTCCCTCAGAACTGGACATCAAAGGCCCCTCCCCTGCACAGTGAGGGAGAAAGGTGAAGCAAAGAAAAGAGAGGTCTGTGTTGGCTATTGGTGGATGAACACAGTTGGGGGAGGGAGTCTATGCATGGGCTGAACAAGTGGAGGCAAAATGTGCTCCCCAGTGTATGTGTGTGTGTGCCTGTCTGTGTGTGCAAAGCAGGAGGAGGAGGAGGAGGGTCCTTTGGGTCTGTGTCCGTTCGCAGTGATTCCTATCCAGCTTTATAGCTCGCTGTGCACCCCCACCCCAACTCAATCACTCTTGCTCCCTCCCAGAGCAAGATTATAAACAACGCTCTGCCCCTAAACTCCCAGCGGCTCCTCTCTGGTTCTCTCCTTTGATTCCTACAAGTTGTTGCTTTGGAAAAAGAAAAAAAAAAAAGAAAAAGAAAAAATAACTAACTGCTGCTTTGCATCACATGGCATAAAGTACAACAGAAAAAAGAGTAACAAACAAGAGTTCAATTAAGTACCACAATATTTGTTTTCATCTCCATATATCAAAGCATGCACTTTTTTTTTGATCAAGCAGGAAAAATTGCACCGACAACATAAACATTTCCATGGCAGTGGTATGAGCTATTAAACCAATGGTATTATCAGTTGGTAAGAAAAAGTAAACAGTGCATTAAAATACAGAGTGCATTTGTTTTTACATACTTTATGACACAGTAGCATTTTTAAATTTATCTTACTAACTTTCTAAACCCGTCTTCTCTTTGCATGGTTGTCTCACAGTGAGATCATTCGAATGCATCCTTCCTCTCTCAGCTTTTGAGCAGTTTGTATCCCTCTTCCCCTCCTCTCATCTTTATGCCCATTTATTAAGTCTCAAATGTTTTGTTTTCTCCTTCTATTCTTTTTCTAATGTTCCCCAAAGCCACATGGGAAAGACATTGTTTTTAATGGAAGAGAACTCAGTACAGAGGCTGGAGACAAGGGTGGGGAGAGGGAGAGGGCAACCTTCCAAAGGACACTCACTGGTAATTTTTATGCCCAGCTCTTTATTTTCCTTGGAGTCCAAGCCTTCTGTTGCTATTTCAACCACCAGACTTAAGTCTACTGAGCTATGGGGAGCTCTGGCGAATCATAACTGCACTCAGATGCTCCCTTTACAGCACATTAATGCACAATTAAGCCCAGCGGTCCCGCAGCTGTCCAGTGCAAAATTACTATGGTCATAAAATCAGATGTTTACAATGCCCAGAAGACATGACATACAAACTGATGAAGTATCCTGTGTTATTTTGGATACTCTTTCACTTCCTTATTTTTTGAAAATATCCTTCACTTCTTCATCTTATAATACAGTAAAGGTCTCACGTTGGGAAATCTGTCACCCATATCGCTCTGGGGAAATTCTTGCACAAGCCACAGAATGACCATGACCTGATCATTTCACCCTGAATGACTCCACCAAATATGCGTCTATCTGTGTGGGGGTGAGTTGGGGTGTGTCAACATGCCTCTGGCTACACGTTTGTCAAATCTGAGTGTGAATTTTGAACGAATCCCTTAATTTAAGCGAAGGTTAGTGAGCAAAATTGCGCTTTTATAGTTATCTTGAGGGCTGTTACTGATAAGAGCTTGTAAGCTTAGGGCGCATTGATGAAAATTTGTGGGATAAAGACAATAGCCTTCACTTACGTCTGTGTTTAAGCAGACCTACAAATTATAGGCCTATGTTTAAACAAAGCACCACAAAGCTGTCTGCCAGGCAATAGGTCAGTGCGAGCTGAGAACCTGTTTCAGATGTTTGCTTAGGGAGAGCTAAGCACCGCAAATCTCTGTGACATCCATATGCTTATATTACACAAGTCCCCCCCACCCCAAGGATGAGGCATATGTGTGTGTGAGTGAGTGTACATTGGTGACAATACCTAACAGTGTGCCTCGTACTCCTTATATAGCTAATTTGATTGCTACTACTGTATATTTTCATGTGTGTTTGCACAATGCATGCACATTTCTTTTTTCATATATATTAAAGTGTGTTTTTTTTTCTCAGGTTGTGAATTACACCACATACTCTTCAAAGAGTACAGTGTTCATATAAAAATAAAGATATCATGGAAAATGATGCACAAACAAGTGAGTATGGCCAGTGACACAGTAGATTGAAGATGTATATTCCAGTTGTATTTTTTTTTTCCTTTTTTTTGTTAAAATGTATTTGCTCCATATTTGGGCTGGACTAGGCTTAGGCTGGTTCTGAAGTACAGACCAATCAAGGGAAGTCTGAACCTGGATTAAGACCCTGTTTGTACCTGATGTCAACACAAAATGGATCCTCATGTTTTTTGACTATAGAGGGCCTTGTGTCTATGTACAGCAACCTGTTGACCGGTGAACAGGAAGATCCCTGGACTTGGTACCAGTGATTTCTGGGCCCTTTTCTGCCTGTCAGCCAGCTACAGGCCAGTGACATACATCTCCATCCCATCATTGAAGGTGAAGATGGTGGTAGTGCTGGAGCTGTTGGCCCCTTGTTTCACATCGCTGATGGTCTCATAGAAGTTTTCCCCACCAGGCAGGTTTCGAGCAGGAGGGGCAGAGGGTCCTGAGCCTTGAGGTGCCGCTGGTGCTGCCTGCTGCGTCGGCTGCTGTGGCGTCTGCTTCTTTCTCTTCAGAGTCGCATTCCCCCCAGTTGTGCTGTTATTGGTTCCCCCTTGCTCACGTTTCCGGTGGGTGTCAATACTAGCGTATGCTGGGTCTGACTCAGCCACTGGGGTGGACCAGGACCTGTCTCCTACCGGCTCATAGCAGGGCTCCTCCTGGGAACGTGCCTGGCCCTGGACGCCTCTGCCTCGGCCCCGAGAACCCATGTTTCCTCGATCCCCACCAAAGGAGCGTGGGAGGGTCTTTGCCCCGTTGTGTTCCATCGGAGGTTTCTTTTTCTGGGTTTTACACACAATGGAGTAGGTGTCTGCAATCTGAGAACACATACAGGAGGAGAGTATGGTGTCAGTTAACAACACTGAACAACATTACAACTCTGTCCTATAGTCTGTGGGTCACAGCTCCTTAATATCTCATATCATATCTACATAGGTGAATGTTTTTAACCACATCTGATATATAGCCTGCACATGCTGTACTGTGCTGGGATTTAAGAATATGTATGTGTACCATGTCTCAAGTTTCTGAGTTAGCAATGAGTATGTCCTATATTTATACACGTATGTACCTCAGTCTGTTTGCATGCCAGATATTAAGATATAATATAAACATAAGAGAAATTGTACAGTATAATGCTGTTAATTTGGTGAGTGCAAATGATTGTATAAGCAAGTATTCTGCCTGTGTATGTGCAGTTATGTTGACAGGGCTTGCTCTGTGCTGTAACCTGACCTATTTTAATGGGGTAGGATAAGACAGAGTAAACTGTGTTATCAGTCCATAGAGTCCCCGGCAGAGAGACGGAGTTAGCTTTGCAGTGGATGAACCTGTTAAAATTTCACCACATCTGCTCTGGCAACAGAACAGCAGGGTATGGTGTGAAAGATCTGAACAACAGCCAACTTGCTGAAAAAAAAAAAAGAAAAAAAAGAAGCTCAGTGTTTGCTGATGGACTTTGCTCGGATCTCATTTGTTTTGGATGAGGTATGTGTACGTGTTTTTGTGGCGAGATTTTGCTGGAGGTGTGTGCTCATGCATAGAGTATGTATGTGCGTGCTCACAGTACAGCGTGAAAGATTTGATATCTAGGCCTCGCAACTGAAAGGCATGTGTGAGGTCTTGTGGGGAATTTTGATAAACCAGTGCTGTGACCTCTGGCATTTCTGTGTCAAAATTCCACAAGGGGAGCACAAGAGCAGAGGACTGTTGGGCATGGTCATGTTTACCTTCCGTGTTCACACCCAGACCAGCAGCTCTGCTCTACTGACCTCGAGAAACACTGGCTATGCAAACTGCTCTATTCTGCACATACACACACACACACATGCACACACTCACAGATTAGCTTTGTGTTTGTTCCGCTCCCAAAAAACTGAAACCTGAGAGCATACAGACAATGGGCAAGACTTTTTCTCTGTGTATGCACTCGCATTACTTTCATGGTTTCTTTGCATTATATTTCTTACACACTAGTTTTGCAGAGGAAATATAATTAAAGTGCAAACCGGTGTGACTTTATCTGTGAACCTCTCTCTCCACCATTGTTTCAATCCTGTCTCTGACGGATCGCAAGCGACACACATACCCAACCCCCACCAATCTCTTGTGTGACCCTTTTTTGGATAAACAAAGACCCCGGCGTATGCTATAAGTGTGTGCAGACAATGTGCAGCGTGAGTGTACGTGCAAGCGTGTGTGTTTTTGTGTGTGTGTGCGCGCACACAGAATTTGCAGCTCTATGCAGCAGAGGAAGGAAGTCACAAGATGATGGGGATTTCAAAACTGGGCTGCAGCTGTTGAGGAAGCCTGTGCATCGTATGTTTTCTGTTCACCTCCCTTCACCCTACACTCCTTTCTGTTATGTTTCTGTATCTGTGCTTTAACTCTAGACACAGGCTTCAAAAAGTCACAGTTAATTTCTGTATACACTGATTATTCATGGAAAAACAACCATATAGCCTGACTGATGCATCTGTCTGTGATCAACTTTATGAATAGCAAATATGGTACAAGTTTCCAAACGGTCTTCTCGCAGTTGATATTCATGTGGTAAGACATGCTGCATGCAACGTGATTGGTTGGGGAAGGCAGCGCCTCCTTATAGCCACAAAGGGAGCGGAGCAGAAGGCAAGAGCGCCAGAGGAGAGGAGGAGATTTAGTTGGGAGTGGAAACTCAACACCGGTTGACGGCTGCAACTGACAAACTCCAGAGGAAACAAAGTATATGGGCATGTTAGGGCAACAACAAACTCTTCAACGGAAAAATACAGCAACTACGGGGAGAAAAGGTTTAGAAAAGGGGAAAAAAATAAATATATGTTTTTTAAAAAACAGAAAAGAAAGTTAGAAAGGAAGAAAAATAAACTGAGAAAGATTGCAGAATGTTGTCAAGGCCAGCTGCTCTGTGTACCAGTCTGCCTTGCAGAGGAGGAGTTTTACTGGAGCCTCACCAAAAGACTTAACCCCCTAATTTCCACGTACAGCAGCATCCAAGCTCTTTGACTCAGCACTGGTTTAGACAAGAAACATACCAGCAGCTTTGAACTTGTCAGGACGACTGCTGTAATACTCCTGCAGTCGGAAAAAAGATAAAACTATCCTTTTAAAGTCATCTAGATTATCTTGTATGTGACAAAGTTTTGCTTGTGTGTGGAATTCAGATTAATATACCGAAAACTCCCTGAGCTGATGAAGATGATCAAACACACACTAATAATAGACAGCGGTCTATTTTGAGAACAGCCGTCCGTCTACTCATGTTGAATGCCACAGCCCCCCGAAAGGCATGACAAAAGTTTCGAAACTGCTTGTAACTCTGGAAAATATACTGTGTCCGGCAGAGGGCAAAGAAAGGCGGATTGAGAGTTGAGAAGTGGGGGTGGAGTTGCTGCATGTGGAAGTGCATGTGGTGGAGTATGTGCATGACATGACAGTCTAGGTTGCAGCTTGAATTCTGTCTGCTCAGGCTGATAAGAGAAAACAGCTAACCTTTAACAAGTAGCTGAATGAATGCAAAGCGATGATGAATTATTTGGCAGCAGGTGATACTGGTGTCCAACCCGTCCAGTCCGTCTGCTTGTATGTTGTGAGCAAATAGATGAGTGGGGGGCTGGGAGATTTGGGTCAAGGTTCAGGCAGGGAGTGGGGGGCGCTGGATCATGTAACGTAACCGCTGCCTGTAAGTAGAAACCTTGTATGACAGGCAGGTCACAGGGCAACACTGTTATGACAGCGTACCCAATCAAATGGGCGCCCCCAACGGCAAACACGGCAGTAATCAGAGACCTGTTCGTCTATCCATCTGCTTGTAGTCTTTCCGGTCACCCTCTGGTTTCGTGGTCCCTCCCCCAGCTACCGCCACAAACACACACTACAAGACGTGTACTACCTCCTTTGCAGTTGGAGGCGATGGGTGTCCCTGTCCGTTCTCGCCACGGTGTGGAGGTGGGTGCAAGGTGATGATGTCATCATCCTCTGGAGGCTTCCAGATGTATTGCTCCCCGTTGCCGATGAACACTGCTTCCTGGTAAACAAAATTAAATGAGGAGCTCAGGCAAGTATTGCAACTATTATCAATAAGTCTTTGTGCAAAAGTAAATCGCACAATAAAAAAGGAAAGATGTGGCAATTTTTAAAACATGTTTAAACATGTATGGGAAAACACTGTCGTTTCACACGTTTGCTGGAAGGTCTGTTTGTCATTTGCTTTTCCTTGTTTGTCTTACATAAGAGAGAAAGGCTCTAAGAAGTTATTAATCGACTGAATGCAAGTAGCAACTCAGTTTAAATGGAATAAAATATTTGGATACCTCAGTAATTTAGATATGACATTTCAAGGCTGACTAACCGGATGTAGGATGCAGGTATAAGCCTGCCATTGGCGGTTCATTTCAGGGGGCTTTGACAATACAACTGAACACATATGTAGGTCTACATCTTATCATTCATTATTGTGCAATTTCTGTACGTTTTAATTTATTTTGGTTGATTTCCCGTAAACTTTAACTTTTGGACTGCTAGTCCACACCACAGAATACCAGTGAGTCAGTGATAGCCTTGCTTTCCCATCAGGTCAGTGTTAAGTAACAACTCAGACTTAGCCTGACAGTTAGCCTGGCTTGAACCCAGCCCAAGTTGCTATGGTAACTGCTACTGTCACGTATACATGCATCAGAAAAACTGTTTTTCCACACAAGTTTGTTGTATAAACAGTGTGTTTGTTTGCTATTTGCTTTTCCTTGTTTGTCTTGGTTAACAGTTAAACTGTGACCACGCTGGACAGTGTGAGCACGTTGTCCATGTGTGTATGTGTGACTAAGATTGTGTGTGAGAGAGTGACAGAGAAAAATAGAGTGCTGCTTTAAAAGTAAGAGGTCTATATTTCATGCCAGCATGACACACCTGCACTGTCAGATTAATGTGAAACGCTTTCAATAAATTTATGTAACACTGACGTTATCACATGCTGCGTGGATGTGTGTTTGTTTATTTGCTTTTACTCATTTGTCTTGCTTAACAGTTAAACTGTGACCACGTTGCACAGTATCACAACCCTAACCCTTGACCAAACAGAGTTATGGTCACAAAAGTGTTACTGCTACAGCTGTTTCACATAAATGATATCTCTGTTTCTGCAATATCCACAAAAGTTAAATTATATGTCTTTTTAGTATTTTTTTTTTGCTCTCCAAGGTAGTGTTTATGTCAAGATCAAAACAAATAAATCATCAAGTGGCACTGTCAAAAACAGTGAGGACATTAGAGTTGGTCTCGTTAGCAGGCAGCTGCTCTGAGACTAATTCCTAACTGGAATTAGATGTTGCATCTTAATGCACTTGTTTTTGTTACTAATAAAAGCTTCACTTCAAATTGAACCCCATAGTTTCTAAAGTAACATCAACAGATCACTGTATGACCTGTACTTTGCATGTGTTAATAAATGGCTGCTCTGTGTTTGTATTTTCAGCAAGTTAATCAGTTCTTTCTTACTCTGTGACCAACTGTTCTGCAAGGTTTTATGCAAATCTGTTCCCTCAAAGATATCCTGTTGACAGACAGGCAGACCCACTGACATACAAATAATGCTGCCAAAACAGAACCTCTATTTAACTCGGCTGATGGAGGTAATTTCAGCAAGATGTAAGGGAGGATAGAAGGCCGATCAAAATCACTGTTTAGCAAATAATGATGAATGATGAACTCAGATTTTTATATTTCATGAATGATGAGTTACAGCTGACTCAATTCTTTATGTTGTATTGTATGAATCTTGTATGTGACTATGCTTAACAAACTAAAAAGCCATGGGTGCCTCGAACAAAAACCTGAGCGAGTACTCTTGCAAAATGTTTACCGCTGCTTGTGATCAAAACCAATTAGTAACCAATTAGAAAACATGAGCAACCGAGGAGGATATGTTTAAAATTTTATAAGTTCCTCCTGTGCAGTGAGTGAGTAATAGAAGCTGGGTCAGAGTAAATGGCTTCAATATGTGGACAGTATTTATCCCCAAACTGGCCTGCTACCTGCTCACTGTTTCTAAATAGACTTTGCTGATAGAGTCAACAGGACACACGCCCATGTCTGTATGGCTCTTTTCGAAGACTTTCAAAGACATAATATATTCTTATATGTAGCCTCTTGCTCTCACCTTAACAGTCACAACTAAGTGCTTATTCCCAAACCAAACTTTTATCTAAACCAGATTCTAGTCCTAGTCCTCAAATGGCTCGTTGAAGGGGTATGAAAAGCTATTTATTGACGGAATAAAATGTCCCCACTTTTCCAAAATGTTCTGATTGTGATGGTTTAAAATTTCATGACTGGTTCTCACAAAGATAGTTGAACAACCACACACACACACACACACACACAATCATGCACACACACACACACACAATCATGCACACACATACACACCACACCACACACACACAGCTGGGCAGCATGCCAAGCTCTTACATAATCCATCCTTCCACTCCTCGCTCTAATATAGTGCTGCGCAGCACAGTGCAAAAGGGTGGAAGAAACACGCATGCACATTCATGCACACACGTCAACACACTATCGAGGATTAAGCATCCGCAGATTACTAAAAGTACAGGTCAGCAACTGGGCTGACATCAACAGCTAAGACAAGATTGTTTAAATAACCTTATCAAATCTTTTTAAATCACTAATACAAAAAAACAAAGTCGCCTTTTCTCCCTCAAACGCACACATACGTGAAAAGCAGACGTGTGTGCCAGCAAACCAACAGGAAAGGCCGATCACCATCCGATCTTTGTCCCTCTCGCAACTGCTTTTGTGATTATAAACACATCCCAGCTGGCACATTCAACTCTATTATGCGATTAAAATGTTCTGTCAATAGGCAGATCCATGAAAAACAGGAGTTATCAAGGTTAGGTATACAGTGAGGTTGTTACTTTTATCAATCATTATTAGTGTTTCAAGCATTTTTTTCAGGCTAAGTGGAAATCCAGTAGCTAAAACTCTACCAATACTCGTGTCTGAGTATGAAGAGGTGTTTGTTTGTAGACACTGCCCTCTGGTGGTAAATATACAGCATTACAATTTGGAGAAGTGGCTGTGTAATATGATGCATAAGGTTAATATGGAGCACATTGATCCAATCACTGGCGTACCTTTGGGAAGGAATGCAGGTGAAACGGTTCCAGTGGTTTGCGTGGAAACTCCTGACTGCGATGTAGCGGAGGAGGAGCGGCAGACGGTGAATCACTCACGCTCGATTGGCTGTCTGACTGGCTGTCGGCCCCGTTATTTTCCTTCCTGTTAATCTTGTCAACCTTGAGGTTTTGAATCAACCATTGAAAACATTATATTCAAAGCTTTCAGTCACAGAACCAACCAAGCAAAAGTGCAGAAAATTAAGCATTTCATGTTTATCCTGCATGTCAGAGGAGTATTAGTACTTTTTCTATAAAGCTGATACTGGCAGAACCTTTCAAATAACCTTATTGTGTAGTTTGGTTTTATTTTAACTTTTTACAAATTTTACATTTCAGTGTAATGCAGAGTAAAACGGACTTAGCAACAAATCAAAAAAACATATTAAGGCATTTTTGGCATCATTAGGTGAATACATGTGGTTTCCCGTGGCAACACAACACATACTTTTTGCCTCCTGTAGCTGCACATCTTTGTTCAGTGGCATTACTAACATACAGCTCAGCAGGTTTGCACATATAATGTATGAGCTCAGCTGAGAATCTGTATATATTAGTTGGTAAATAAAAAATCTGATGAAAGGGTGCCGCTTCTTAGAGCCAAATGAAACCCCGAACTGCAAACAAAACCTCCTTTAGAGCAGGTTAGCTGTGTAGAATCAGTCACCATGGTGATCACTGAAAACTCTGGCTTTATGTGATCACCAAATGCGTTGCAACAAGAGACAGTCCATCCTTGAACTTTAAAGTTGTGCCTGCCGGTGCCGACAAAACAATCAAACGTGTGTCTTAAGTATTTTCTTTGTCGTGAATCATGGTGTTTGACACATTCTTTTCAAGCTAAGAAGGCCACCGTGAATATAGTTCTACTATTTGCAGTCAGGGTATTGTCAGCGTTAATGAACAAAGGATTCTACATACATGATATTATGAGGTCTGGTGCAGGTTCTCAAATATTCTAATTTCCTTCTCACAAAGTCTCTAAATCAACATTGACAATTCATCTAAACAGCTTACGATGTTGTAAATGATTTCAGTCTAATTCTTGACCACTAAACCGTACAGTTAGACGTCACCTTATCTGTGTTGTTGTAGTTGGTTCAGGAGATATGATGCAAAATACATTGCTTGGTTAAAGTGGAAAGTTTCATGCTTATGAAAAAGTAAACATAATTTTCATATATTCCCCAGAGCATACCGTTGTTTTTTTTTGTTTTGTTTTTTCTTACAATGTACAGCCCAGTGACATTTTAACCGTAGAAGGTCTTTTGGGGTCTATTGGACCCCAAGAAAGAATATGTGCAAAATATTTGTTGGTATTCATTATAGACTTTTTTACTATGTTAAATACATTTTCTGATAAGTTGACATATTTTTGGTTCCAAATGCATTACAAATGTCCCTACTTTTATATTTAAATAAAACAAAATAAAAAATACCCATCACCTAAACCAAATGGCCTGGGGTCCAAAAGACCCCAAAAGTCCTGCATAGGGTTAAACTGACAACGTTCACAAAATTAAACTACTTCTTTAACTGAGTCTTAACCTCTTTAATTACCACCTGAAACACTTGTACGGTAATAATTACCTTTCTGAACTTCCGTATGGAAGCGTACTCGGCAGCAGATGGATCTTGAATGACCAGGGAATTGACAGAAGACATAGGGGACCTGTTAGCCCCGCTCGCCCCGTTGCCTCTCCCTGCCATAGGTCCATTAATGTTGCCGTTCCCCCTGCCATTCCCTCTTCCCTGTGACGAAAAAAATAGACATACACAGTTATTAGTTTTATCAACTATGCCAGTCAGTCGCAAACAACTGTCACACATTCAAAAATGACAGATTCAAACCACCCCGAACACGGACTAGTCAACATGATTTAACACTGCAGGATCTACAAAAACAAATCAACAATGCACATCATCGACAGGCAAACAAATAAATGGCTGTTAAAGCCGCTTCTTATTTGCAGATGTATGCTTTTTTCGATTGTTTGTTTTTTAAAATATTTTTTTGACATCAAATAGCTATTTCGATGTCTGATTGTTTTCCTTTCCTGTCAGTAGAAGAGGTTAGAACTGGCTCAGTAATCACCAAATCCCCCCCCCCCCCAGTTTTCCATCTAATAAATATAGATGAATGTATGAGTGTGTATGAGTGACAACCAAGTTCAATGGCTTGCTTTACATTTAAAATAATCATACAATTTTATCATTTGGTTAGCGTTTGTTAAGTTTGTGTGCACCTACATTTCCATTTCCATTACGAGCTCCATTGGTGTGAGCTGGGGGGCTCTGAGCTGCTCTGACTTTAGCAGGAGTGTTGGTTGATGTGCTCGGTGGGGCAGAGGGAACCTTGGGGCCTGCGTCTCCTTCCCGGACGCCTACACTTTCGTACAGACCGTCGTCCAGGTAGTGGGTGGGAGTGGGGTTATTGCGCAGGCCCACCTCGGTGTAGGTGTGGTCTCTGGCCTCCCCCCCTCCTCCTCCACCTCCTCCACCCACTCCTCCTCCTCCTCCTCCTCCTCCTCCTCCATCTCCTCCTGTTTCCCCTCCTACCCCTTGGCTGGATCCCTGGGGACTGGTGGGGATCTGGGGGAGCTGGCGTGCATGGGAGGGCCTCAGGTCTGTCTGGGAGCGCCGACTGTGGAGGAGCAGGAGGTCCATGCTGGCTGGACGACTCTTACTAACAGCTGCATGGAGAGAAGGAGGAGAAGGAGGAGGAGAGGGGGAGAAAGAAAGCCACAGAGGGGTCTGGACTGAAATAGCGCTCGGGGTAGTGTATCACTTATTGTCACATACGAACCGTTAGTCATTACTTACAGTTTCCATTGCAGGGAAAGCGATTGATCTCATGCAGCCTGGTGTCAGATTTACTCATGGAGTTCAGTTTCGGATGCCGCAGCGTACCCTGCTGTCACACACATACGGACGTGTCAGTACAGGCGTCAAACATGCAAACACATGCATGTGCATCTGTATACACAAAGAGCTATTGAGGGAGGAAGCTTAGAGGAAAAGGAGCAGAAGTGGATGGAGGGAAGGAGGGAGGGAAGAAAAGACGGAGCAAAATGAAAGCATGTCTCACCATATTTACAGATGTCCCTTTCTCTCCAGCTGAGGGGTGCTTGCTCTTGCTTTTTCTGAAACAACATGAAAGTGAGGAAGGTCAACAGAAGCCAGTGGACAGAAAGCGAACACACATACACACACAGTCTGATAGATGCTATCAGCATCCAGCTCTGGTTAGGGCATGAAAGTCCTTGGTTGATAACAAGAGCCCAGTCAAACTGTGAATGGTGCGTGACTCAGGTTTTTGCCAAAGCGGAGGATGACCTTCAGTGGAAATTTTTTTTTCTTAAGATTAGACAAAGCAAGCTGACAATGATTATATTATAATTTACTTCATGCTAATTCCTTTTTGCAAATGTACTTCTCCATCCTTTGGTAGTAATCTTGTGAAACAAATGCATGTAGAGTAGTGTTATGCCTCATTGTGAATCCCTGTGGGTGGCTGTAGCCATAGGAAACTGTTGATATGGTGAGAGTGACGAATCGAAGTAAGCACCTATGTCCATTTGGGAATGTGAAAACTGTTCTTCTCCCGTCTCTTTTCTCTCACATTGGAGGGTGAGGATCTGCATCACATAATATGTGAGATCTCACTGTTGTGCTGCAAAACGCAACGTGGCAATAAACCACATTTCTGGTGTGTAAACAGGTGCAGAAGTCACACATCACGATACTGTGTGAGTTGCTTGAAATATATCTAAATGTTAAAGGTACCACAGTCAGTTGTGTCAGTTCCATGTTACTGGAGCTACATATTGTCTCCTCTAGTAAGCTGGAACTCTTTGGTACAAACATATGGCCATCATACCCCAAGGGGGCCAGGAGAAGGTGAAGAGAGCTCCCCTCGGAGATTTTACTAATAACATTGCACAGGAGGGGGTTTAAGGCAAAACGCCATGAAGGCACAAAGTCATATGAGAACCACTACAATTATCTTGTAACTTTTAGAGTAAGACAGTAAAAGATGTCTGTTGCAGTCCTTGGAATATAAAAGAGACAGTGCAGGAGTGTATTTTTAAATCAATAGAGGGAGATCAATAGAGGCAGGATCGGTATTTGTACATGGCAAAGTCTATTTGAACTGATGAACTACTGAAGACTGAGCTCCTCAACATTACAAACACCCCACGGGGATCCTATATATTATTCCTTAGATTGTGACAATAGTGTGGTTTTATTTCCATCACATAAGCTGGTTTGACATTTCTCTACATCCTTATCTGTGTATCCCATGGCAACAAAGCCACAGTGCAGCCTCTGATTGGTCCCTGAGGGTTCTGGGAGAAAAAAAAAAAAGACATAGGCTTTTCCATTGCTTCTGCCTGGCTCCGAGTGTGATCCTTTTTTAAACCGTAGGGTGTCCCATTGCTTTAGCCTGCTGAGGAGTTTTGCTGGTGAGGGGTGGCGTGAGGCTGCTCTGACTCTGGCCTGTCTCCTCAGTGTCCTGTAAACATCATTTCATCTGATCTGGCACTCGCAGCCATTAACATTCATTACTGCCACTCCGCTCAGAGCAGGGGATAAAAGAGACGGAGAGGACGGATGGAGGGAAGAGAAAGAAGGGAGGAGAAGAGTTCAGAAGAAGTAGAGACACATAAAAGAAGGAGTGGATGATGAGAGTGATCTGAGAGGGCACTGACTGCTGGCAGCAGTGATGATAAAACTCTGGCTGTTCTCTTTTCTTTTTTTTTTTATTATTTCATCCCACACCCTACATTCTCCACATTTCAAGTCATGTGACCGTCTTACCTTTGGCAACCAACGCAGACAAGGACAATAAGAATGGTGACCACAAAGGCAGACGCTGCTGCGATGGCTCCCAGGAGCAGCAGGTTTTGGTAGGTAGGGTCCTCTGCACTTGCTCCGTTGCTGCCATCCATGACATCCACTCCGTCTAGCTCACTCCCTCACTTTCACTCAAGCTCAAACTCTGCCACTCAAACCGTCTGCTCAGGAAAACCTGCAAAGATACGGGAGAAGGAAAAGAAAAGAAAAAAAAAGATACAACATATGAGTGACATGAGAGATAAGAAGAAACTGGAGAAATGCTGCAATGAGCGAGGTGAGAAACAGTGTGTGTGCGCTCGGTTCGCCTCTGGCTTTTTGTCACTGTCTCTTTCTGACATATCAGTTTCTATTTTTGACTCACTAGAATAATGCACAGAAAATAGAACACCTTACAAGGCAGCCGGTTTGAGCATGCCAAAAACAGTTTCATCACACTCTTTCTTTTTTGTGCTGTTAAAAAAAGATCAAATGATACCGTAGCATTCGTTTGACTAGCCAGAGAGATTCTTGTGTTAGTTTAGCTGGAAAAACCAACTGAGCTCCCAAGAGTAGTGCCTCGCTGACGGACCAGACTCACTGCTGCTACGCTTCATTTGCTGGCAGAGCGCTTTCTTGTTCTCCAATCAGAAGTGGCTCAAAGACTGACGACAAGATGTTTTAGTTTTTACAAACAGTGATGCATATTGTAGTAATTGTTGTACTACATACTGGGTAGCACTCTCACCTCCAGTGCTTTTACCTCTCCGATACGCACAGCGGTAAACAAACCCTCTCTAATCACCCAAAACATCCTCAAATCTCCTTCATGTCAGACAAAATTATCTCTTGAGGAGATCTGCATGCTGTTCATACATGAATGGATCAGGCTAGAAAGATCTGAATACACAGTGTAAAACTTCCCAAAGTTTTTCAATTTCTGTGACGTCAACATAAATGCCAGGTGTGAGATAGTATATATTTACTCTTTGATTTAAACAGGATGAAACAACTGATGATTTTGGTGATGAACATTTTAAATTGAATTATTTTAATTTCTCTGCAATATTGTACTTTTCCTGTAAACAAGCTAGCAGGAGAGTATATTTTTTACAACGTATAAGTACAATTATGTCTTATGTGTTACATAAATGAGACATTAGCAAAGAAATGATTCTTCACAATGAGGCATTTTTAAAAAAAAAAATATTTTAGATCTGTTGTGTACAGCAAAAGCTTACACATTGGTATATTGGTACACTAGTATATTTTAAGTAAAGAAATTCAATTCGTTGCTCACTTATGCTACGTTACGTTATGAGCCTTTACAAGATTGAATTTCCCTTCTGGGACAAATAAAGTATTTTTCATTTCATTCATTTAATTTCATTACTGTTGATACAAATGTGTTGCACAGACTAGTTTCAGAGAAGGGATAAAAAACTAAAAAAAATGCATTTTACAAAGAAAACTTCAGACCTTTAAATCTTAAATTGAAAAAAATAAATCAAAAAATAGATACTTATATGTAAAATGAAACAGAAATTGTGTGTATATATATATGAATAAATGAAACTATTTCACATGAAATGTAGCTATGGCTATGCTATATTTATACATTCACGCATTTTCATAGTTAATGTTGACACAGTTTAGAATTGGTAGTAATTACTAAATATTTTATTTGATTGTTTATTTGATAATGGTAAATGGTACTTATATAGTGATTTCATCCAAAGTGCTTTACAATGTTGCTCATTCACCCACTCACACACATGTTCATACACCAATGGTGACAGAGCTGACATGCAAGATGCTGCCATTGGGAGCAACTTTGGGTTCAGTGTCTTGCCCAAGGAGGGGCTGTGGATTGAACCGCCAGCCTTGCGATTGGAGGACAACCCGCTCTACCACCTGCACCACAGTAAGTGTTTTAGCACATGTGCTAATTTGCAACACTTGTCCACAGGAGGCTTTTGAAATGATAAAAACAATACAAGTAACAGGAAAAGTAAAAAGACGGAGAGAAAATACAGTGTACAATAACATTACAACAGTAAAAGAGAGGCAGTTTATCAGATGAAATACATCTGTAAGCTACAATTATGGGTAGCACTGAACTAACCAATACTATTTACTTAGTTAGGCTAATAACTTCACTGGCAAAATGTTGTTTTTTCCTCGATACTTCTACGAATTTTGTGAAATACAATTTAAAAGCATCCTCGTCTAAATTGTTTTCATACATTAGTTGGACCAGATATTTTGACCTCATTGTACATTATCTCATATACTCCTCAATCTAAATAGTTCACATTTTACCAAGTAGATGTTACACCTAGTTAGTATGACATCGCTAAGTTAAACTACCATCTAAGTTAATAGTGGTGCAGCGAGATCCTGGAGTGCAGCCTCCAAAGTGTCACTTGGAACAGAGATTACGTTCATAAGCTCACAGTCGCTGACGTATCAGCACGGGATTTTTGGAATTAGGAGCAGTTGTCAATACCTGTCCTCGCTGCTCTGCTTATTTCCCGGAGGCACCACAGCCCACAGATTCACACACTGAATATGCTGCACATTCCTCTAGAAACGGAGACAATGGCAGCAATGTGGTTAAAGTATTAGATTAGAGAAGAATCCGAATGACAAAGCAAGCGGGCGCAGAAGGAGGTCATGGCAAGCTGTACACAACTGTATATGTTGTTTGTGTGTGTGTGAGAGAGAGAGAGAGAGAGAGAGAGAGAGAGAGAGAGAGAATCTGGAATATACCACCACAGGATCTGGCTCTGGCTTTCTGTTTCTTGGAGATAAAACTGCATCTTTTTTTTTTTTTTTTTCATGTCCTCTTTTTCTTGGTCCCTCTCCCTCTCCCTCTCTCTTTTTCCTCCAGATCTCCTCTCCTCCTCTCTCTCTCTCTGTCTGTCTGCCTGACCCTGCAGATATGTGAGGCGATGCACAGCGAATGAATTAGCAGAGCAGAGGCCTCAGACAGCCCTTTATGGAATAGACAGACAGGCAGGCAGGCAGGCAGAGTACATCACAGCGGAGAGAGGAAAAATGAGAGGAAGGCAGTGAATGAAAGGGAAGGGTAAGAGAGAGGTGATGAGGCACAGGAGCAAATGAGTGGGATGAAAAGGAGAGAAAGGTGGGAGAGACGCAAAGAAAAAGCAAAAAAAAAAAAAACCGGGGAGGAAGACAGAGAAAGAGGGGAGCACACTTAAAAACATGAAGGAGGAGAGGGTGTGATAAACAGTGGGGGAGGGAAGGGAGAAAAGGGAGTGATGAGACGAGGAAGATGAAGACAGCGAGAGAAATAGTGGGGAAGCCTGGGAGAATGTGCGATGAGCGCAGGGAGGGGGGGGGAACAGAGAGCGAGAAAAAAAAAAAAAAAAAAGGAGGCAATGAGAAGGAGGTCATCAGCGGTCTGTTTCTGCCTGCATTTTGTCAGCCCCCTTCTGAAATATTCAGAGGAGAAACACATACAACGGGTGCGTTTCTGAACTGCCAGAAAAACACAATGCAAGACGGGAGCACATGTCTGGCAGCATACTTAACAGTACGTGAAGCTCACAAGTGGTGAACAAGACTCAGGAGGACGAGAGGCGGTTTTTCCGCGCGACGCACGACGATTCCTGCAGCACGCTCGACAGTGACACACAGTTAGGCGGCAAGGATGTTTATTCCAGCATCTGTCTTCGTTTCAGGACGTTATGAGTAAAATGATGACAGTGATAATAACAGCATATTGAGAATGATGACAACGGCGGTGATAGCCCCATTGAAGCCTGCTGCTGGTGATTAGTATAAAGATGCCAGCCATGATAATGATGATGATGAAGGGTGCAGTTACTAATAATGATGGGAATGATGGTGATAATGAGGTCAAAGTGAGAGTTGCAAAGACACACTTGAGGGGCGGATGCAAGCAGCAGAACTGGCAGAGCAGCGAGCAGGATGCAGCGGTGCAGCACAACCACAGGGTGGGAGGTTTCCTCTGCGTGTCTCTCACATCACACACACACACACACACACACACACACACACACACACACACACACACACACACACACAGACATGCACAGAGCGTAAAATGCTCGATTTTTTTGTTGCAAATCTACCAACAATCTTTGGATTACACAATCACTTTGCAACGACAAGTCAAACCGACGCACTGTTTAACCATCAGATGTGCAACTGGGGTCTAGCAGGCTCTGCAGCCTTGTTATTTTCCAACATCTACTCAACTAAAGCTAATTATAGATTCTACTTTCAGTTGCTTAAAATAGAGTGTTGAAAAGGAAATCAGCTAATTTTTCATGTGCACCAAAAAAAAAACTGTTTTTGAGGCAAGTGGAGGCTCACAGTGTGTCCTCAGTTTTCACCTCTTGGCTGTTAATGGAACATGATTTCATTTCCTATAAGGAGTGTGTTTATCAAAAAGGGGGCAACATTTCTCTACCAAAATGAATTCACATAAAATGATTTCCGAATGTTGCTTTTCTCCTGCAAAATAATGCAAATCAAGGTTTTTATATACTTCTTTTTTTTTTCTATTAGACCTAATTTGACGATGACATATCTCACTGGGATCTCTTGGATTACGGCACTACTTCAAACGAGGGGCTTTTTTTTTAAGGTTTAAAAATAAGTGTAGCCTGATTACAGTTACGTTTCTCAGATGACATTTACATTTCTATCTACATTGTAGATTACATCACGAGTGGTCATAAATTGTTAATGCTCTCAGTAGTCAAGAGATGTTGCTTCAGCTTCCTGTGTACGGTAGCTTTTACTGAAAGAGCAGGACGGCTGAACACGATTGACTTCGGGGCCAACAGAATCAAACGCTGTCCAAAGCATAAACTGGGCAGCTTTGGGGAGTCTGGGTATATATAAAGTATATTAAGGTTAACCTCAGCATTTCACAGGTGATTCCCTACAGTCATCTAAAATTAAAGAAATCTGTGCAGCTGCCCTTAATCTCACTTGTGCACGAGAAGGCTCTCTTATTGCAGTTCACATTCAAAGTTGCTCCTGAGCTTCTGATTGACAAGCCTATTAAAAGCGTTTATTTTTGAAATATGAAGTGCATGAGTGTTACTACGCTGAAGCATATCGAGTAAATTACACAAGGCAAAGAGTTCAAAAATGTTATTTATTTAAGTTCCTCTCAAGTCATTGATTTTG